TCCCACCAGATCCCTGAAGATTTCACTCAGTTCTGAGGCTGCTGGGCTGATGGAATTATTCCCATTTTCTTTTCTTAGCTTCTCTTCTGCTTCTCTCCTGTTTTTCTCTCCAAGGGAAATGTGGGGTGGAGGCTGCCTGCCTCTCCACTGCACAGTGAAGTGGTGCCCCTGGCAGATCAGGTTGTGTCATAAGCAGCAATAACAGAAGTGGCTTGCCATTGCCTTCTTCCAGGATTTTTTTTTAGATGTCCCAATCTAACCCACAGTCCTGATATTCCCTGGAGTTTCCTATTGAAGCAGTAACCAAGCTGACCCTGTTTAGCTTATGAACCCAAAAAAGGTCAGCAAGATGCTGCCATCTGCAGAGAACCTATATATGCTTTTTTAATATTTTCTAATTGAAAATAAAATGAAGTTTACCTAGCATTTTATTTAGTCTGTGTTTCCATACATGCTAGGTGTGGTGTTCTCACTGCCTGTATTCAGAAAATTAAGGTTGATCAATCATATCTTGGCCTATACTTTTTTCAATAGGCAGCTTTTCTTAGCTTATTTATTTATTTGATTTACATACATTTTTTTTTCAATCAAGGCAACTAACAGCAATCAAAGTAGAGATTTTTTTTTTATTGAAATATAAGTGAGAATTAAGTTTGAATCCTGGCTGTTCTTTGTTATCTTTGAAAACCTTTAAAAGATAGGAATCCTGGCTATTCTATAGGCAGAGAAAGTGGGGACATCTTCAAGGGCTTCTCCTGCAGAGCTTAGTCTGGACAGGATAAGCAGATTATAAGGTAGCAGTTGTCAGTCAGAGCAGATCTTACAACATGGGCATTATATGATTGTTGTATCTTGCACCAATTCACAGTCTTGTGCAGTTATTAATTTATTTGCTTGCTTGCTTAAAGTGGACAACTCCAGTTGTAAAACTTCTGGCAGAAGAACCAGTCTTATCTTGGTCTGGTTTACTGTGAATGAGTTGCTCACAATATTTATTTGGCTAATTTGAGACACAGTGCTAAGCAATAATTTAAACTATACTGTGTACTAAAATGCCTGGTTTGTTGTATCTCTTACAAGCCAGGATTAGAAGCTAGGATTTGTCTTTTGGTTTACAAATCCTGGCCCTGTTTTGGACAATATGGTAAGCTTTTAGTTCCAGGCTGGATTTTCCTATTTTCAGCAGGGGACAAGTAAGCATGCTTTAGATGTAGCTCATTCACAGGATATTTGGTTATCCATTAGGTTACATAGAATTTTACATACATAGATTTTTAAAAATTCTTAGTTGATAGCTGCTTAATAGTTTATTTTGTACCTTTCCTTTTTTTCAGTGACCTCAGTGATTGCTCCCAGTTGGCAAACTTCTGTCAGTATGTGAAGAAATGCAAACATTGTCATCTCAGGCTTAATCAGATTAAAATTAACAAAAAATAACTCTACTTCTCTCCTTAATAGGGGTAAAACCTAGAAAATCATGGCCAGCTTTGTTTATTTTGTGTCACTGGCCCTTGACTCCCCCAGAACAATCAAGTACAGTGCTCCCTCGGTTCACGAACTTAATTCATTCCATGATTCTGGTCGTGAACCGAAATGGTCACGAACCGAATCAAATTTCCCCATAAGGTTCAATGTAAGTAAGGTTAATCTGTTCTGGCCCCTACGAACGTGGTTGCCAACCGAATCAAATTTTCCCATAAGGTTCAGTGTAAGTAAGGTTAATCCGTTCTGAACCATACTGTATGTATTTTTTTTTAACCACAAAAATATGAAACAAAGTACAGTACAGTACAGTATGAAGAGAGTGAACACGAACCTTGCTTGAGGCGACACCAAAAAGCTTCACAGCAAGTGTCTATCTGAGACTGCGATCTAGCCGAGAGGAAGCCACGACCACGTGTCAGAGCAGGGAAGATGGCCACAGGTTGTGTTTGTCACCCGATGTGGAGTTCGCAAATGGAAGCAAAATTTTGCGAACGCTGCTGTTCACAAACTGAATTGTTCGTGAACAGAAGCATTCGTGAACCGAGGTATTACTGTACAGTCCCTGCTGACAAAAGCTCAGAGTCCTGCTCGAATCAGCCCACAAAGTTATAAGGCAAGAGTAGCAAGGAGAGGAGAGGAGAGGAGAGAGGGGCAAAGAAACCATGATCATCAGACATTGGCTTAATATGAAGCATGTTGTAGCATGTTTGAACACAGCAGTTGTTTTGATTAAAAAATAGAAAATTGTGCCTAGTATTTTTGTATTACATTTCCAGTTTTCCATTAAAACTAGGTCTAGAAGATAGACATCAGTAATACTAAGTTTCCTGAAAGGAAAAAGACCACATTATATGTCAAACAATTGGATTTGGATTTGTCCCCAAAATGTTTGTGGCTCATTTAATCAGTGAGGTTTGTATTTGGAAAAGGATATCATTAAGTTTTTTTATATTAAATACTGCTAGATTATCTGCTTTGAAAAATTGGGGCATTTGTTTGCAAATATTGTCATTGTAAGGAAAGTGATGGGATAGGTGACATTTTCTACTTATTAATATATAGATCTAGATGTATTTGAGCAGTAGGCTGAAATGAACAGATGAAATTTAACAGACAAATGTAAGATTTTGCCACTCAAAGGGAGCCCATTATATCCCTGCAGCTTGCAAGGTTTTCCAAGCTAAGGCAGTCCCTCAGCTTCTTTATGACTCCCAAATTTGCTCTTTTGCAAAGCTTAACATTCTTGAAACTATTCAAAATAAGTTTATTAGCGCCATACTGTTGTTTCCAAAAAGTATCAAAAATGCTATCTTACGTGGGGAGATAGGTATAGTTTCGCTGGATGCTAGAGCATGGTTTCTTCTTATAACCTTTTGGCTGAAGTTAATCCTACTTCCGATAGGTTTGGCCCGATTAGTACTTACAGATCATTTTAAATCATCATGGCTTAAAAAAGCCCTAGATAAAATTCATTTACTGGGCTTCTCTATGGAAAGTTTGTGCTCATTAGGTTTTGATAATGTTAGAATTATCCTCAAACAATGAATTTGGGATATAGATCTCCAAACAAATTTAAACAAGGGTTCTGTAATGGTATGTG